TCATACATGGTCACTTACAACATGACCTGACTTAAGGGTAAATCAGCCAATCATTGAAAGCCAACTTGGTCATGATGTCAAAAACTGGTGATGTTATGTTAATCCTTCAGTGATATCCCCACATGAATGTATCAAAGTTGACTATGTTTCAGACAGGCCAGTAACTATCAATGTGAAAGCAGACAGGATGAAAGGTAACATGGTCATGATGTTAAAAACTGGTGATGTCATGTCAATCCTTCAGCCATATCCCCACATGAACTGATAATTAGGTTTTATGATAGGACAGTAGGTATCAATATGAAAGGCTTAGAATGGCCTCTCATAATGCCAAAGATAACTTGTGCATGATGTCAAAAACTAATGCAGCAACACTGGCAAAAGGATGGCAGTCCTTCAACCTCATGCCCATAACATAGATACGGCCAAGGACACCATACACTACATGTAAGCAACAAACTTTTTTAATTTGAGATAGGACAGTAGATATCCATATGAAAGGCTCAGAATGGCCTTTCATAATGCGAAAGACAACTTGTGCATGATGTTAAAAACTAATGCAGCAACACTGGCAAAAGGATGGCAATCCTTCAACCTCATCCCCATTACATAGATAGGGCCAAGGACACTACATGTCAGCAACAAACTTTTTTAAATGAAAAAGTAGACACTGCAAACTTTGCTAATGAAAAAGCACACACTACAAACTTTTGTAGTCTCAAAAAGCGGACACTACAAACTTTTCTAGTGAAAAAGCGCACACTACAAACTTTTGTAGTCTCAAAAAGCGGACACTACAAACTTTTTCTAATGAAAAACATGTCAGCAACAAACTTTTTTAAATGAAAAAGTAGACACTGCAAACTTTGCTAATGAAAAAGCACACACTACAAACTTTTGTAGTCTCAAAAAGCGGACACTACAAACTTTTCTAGTGAAAAAGCGCACACTACAAACTTTTGTAGTCTCAAAAAGCGGACACTACAAACTTTTTCTAATGAAAAAGCAGACACTACAAACTTTTGTAGTCTCAAAAAGCGGACACTACAAACTTTTCTAGTGAAAAAGCGCACACTACAAACTTTTGTAGTCTCAAAAAGCGGACACTACAAACTTTTCTAATGAAAAAGCACACACTACAATCTTTTGTAGTCTCAAATAGTAGACAATACAAACTTTTCTAATGAAAAAGCACACACTACAAACTTTTGTAATGACAAAAAGCAGACAATACAAACTAGTCTAATGAAAAAGCGCACAGTACAAACTTTGTAGCCAAGATAACCTTTTGACCCTAACCCTAGCTTTTGTGGTCTAAGTCTGACTTTTATAGTCTATCAGCAAGCTTTGTAGTCTAAGTTTGACTTTTGTAGTCTTTTATAGTGTATCAGTAAACTGTGTAGTCTAAGTCTGACCTTTTTGTAGTCTATATCTGATGGCATGCACCTTCCTTTTTTGGTCGATTTTCCCACGATACAATAATTGTAGCCCTTTCTTTTAGCTTTCTAAATATACTAAAATCATGTTATTTGGTTTTGTTTTCATGGAGAAAAACACAAAAAACAAAAAAAAACGTGACACTTTTGAAATTCCTTTACCTCATATCTCCACAACAAGAGCACTTCAGAACATAATTCAAACAAATTTGGGAAGCTACAGTGTAGGGCTACAACTTTCGTTTTTGACCATTTTTGGTAATTGGTCATGTGACCATCATCCCAACAACCCATTACATGGACCCTGATAGGTCAAATCATTCTTGTCTTGGTTTTCTTCACTTTTTAGTCAAACCAGGTGATATTTCCCTTTTGGGATGGACCCTGAAGGCAGTGCCTGATGTTCTGTATACCATTCATATGTTTTTTTCCAATTTTTTCGCTATTTTCTGGCTATTTTTGGATATATTACCATATTTGGAAATACGCCCTGGACCCTGAAAACAACCTCAATGTCATCACCAACAGTGAGCACCACCCTGCCATTTTTTTCTGATTTTCTGGCTATTTCCTGGCTATTCTTGGCTATATTACCATATTTGGCTTACATGTAAATTTCATGTGGTTGTTATTTTGAATAGACATGTTTTAACATATGGATGTTGTAAGCAAATCTCTGTATGGTATGGTATGATTCCATGTACTTGGTATGATCCCATCTCCATGGTATGATCCCAATGGAATGATTCCATTCCCATGGTATGATTCCATCTCCATGGTATGATACCAATGGAATGATTCCATGTTCTTGGTATGATTCCATCTCCATGGTATGATACCAATGGAATGATTCCATGTTCTTGGTATGATTCCATCTTCATGGTATGATACCAATGGAATGATTCCATGTTCTTGGTATGATTCCATCTTCATGGTATGATCCCAATGGAATGATTCCATGTTCTTGGTATGATTCCATCTTCATGGTATGATCCCAATGGAATGATTCCATGTTCTTGGTATGATTCCATCTTCATGGTATGATCCCAATGGAATGATTCCATGTTCTTGGTATGATTCCATCTCCATAGTATGATTCCATTCTCATGGTATGATCCCATTCCCATGGTATGATTCCATCTCTATTGTATGATTCTGAAGATATGTGGGATAAGGAATTGGCAATCTGTTCCAAGAGCATCTCCCAAGTTGCTCCCTCATAGGTGAATGTCCATAGCATTTGTTCATATTGCTGTCAATGTTATGGACCTCTTCACCATCCCTGATATTGTATGAAAGACAGAATTTCTATTTAAATTAGAATAGCTATATTTGATAATGATACCTTGAAGCTTGTAATTAGAAGTCTTGGCCTGCTTGTGTTCAAATTTTCAAATCCAAATTCCCCACAATCCCAGCTCTGCTGAGTGGCAGATATGAGGAGATTCCAAATCCAAGTTTTTTGATGATCCCATTTCTATGGAATGACCCCATACTTTTTCATAAATGGCAAATTTTGAACATATTCTATCTGAAGAAGGCATCCTTGTCTTGGGTAGTAATTTGGCTAAAGTTCATGCCTTTGCAATAAATAAAGTCTTGCAAAATTCTTGTTTTCCTTCAGAGCCCATGCCATTGTGATGGATACAACATTGATTTATTTGTCATGAATATAAATGGCCTGGCAAGATATACACTTTTAAGTGGCTTGTGATAGATTATCCACAGTGAAAATGGGCAAACCCTGGGATAAAGCCCAATCAAGCTAATTTTCAAAGGATCAAGTTCATCCTATAGCCTCCACTGGTAGCTTAAAATGTCAGAAGAAATGTGAAGAACCAATCCACAAAAAATGGAGCCCAATGGATCAGTATTGCAGCCTGGAGAAATAATTTTCATATTTTGTAAAAAGGACCCCAGACACCCTGTGACAGCTATGGAATGATGGAATGGTATGGTATGGTATGGAATGGTATGGTATGGTATGGTATGGAATGGAATGGTATGGTATGGTATGGTATGGAATGGTATGGAATGGTATGGTATGGTATGGTATGGTATGGTATGAGGTGGAATGGTATGTGGCATCCATACCATGGTATGATGGAATTGGTATGAGGGTCATACCACTCTGGAATGGGGTACCACTAAGGTTCCCTAATTCAAAGAATTGGATAACCTCATAGGTACCCAAAAATGGGTGACTGAAGTGTCCCAGTAGCATCTGAGGTAGTCGATAAGTTTGTAATCAATTAAAGGACTATTTTTTGCAGACATAAGTAAAGTGTGCCCAGAACCAGCATGTTCAGTGGGGATCACTAGCTTTTGTAAGGTTGTCTTGTCAGTCAGTAAGAGAGCTCTCTACTACTTCCAAGGAATCCAAGTGAGTGTGCTTTAAGACTAGTTTGGATTGAGTGAGAGTCATAATTAAAGCTCAAGGGAGTTACAAAAGCACAGTTCTTTGTCATTTCAATGTATAAAGTTAGAAATCAACTCCAGAACACAGAGATAGTCCCAGTAAAAGCCATTTCCCTTTGAAAGCTATTTAAGTTTTGAATTCTATACTTGTGCCTGCATGTTAAAACAATATCATTTGTTACCAATGGTCTTGTGTGTGTATGTCAATGGTTATTTGGATGTAACCTAAGGACCATGTTACATGACGATAATATGTAGGCCCAGGCTTCCATGGGTATGAGCTACCTAATTATGTAACTGTCCTGTTGTCATGCACTGCTTTTGTGACTTTCCGTTTGTAACACTAATCAGGGCTTTCAGGGGGGTCTGTGGCCCCTTACAATTGTAGGACTCTCAATCTGCTTCATCACCTATCACTGCATCTAGCTCTGATGCCACCCCTAGGTCAGGGTATTGCCAGCAGACATTCTTATGGGGGGACCCCCCTGAATCCTGTCAGACTACACAACTGGCCCTAGTTCTTTCCTCCAACAGCAGCATTACACCACCTCAGATTTTTGTTCAGATCTCGATTGACAGATGTGTGGAGTGATCCAACCCTTCGGCTACTTGGTGTTGTTGATCGGCAAGGAGACTGGTTTACCAGCCTTGACTCAGTGACATGCACTTCATTTGTCAGCCTCACAGCCCATCCCAAACCTTCCAAACTAGCTTCTTTGGCAATATCCTTTTTTTCCAGGACAAGGGGAGTGATGTCACCGTGACTTCATTGTGCCCTTACTAGACTAGGACAACACTGAATGCATGCCACCTTAACTTGGACCAAATTATTGTAAGAAATTTTTAAAGAAATTTCAAATAACTTCACAGTGACAATTCTAAAAAATTGTAAAATTATTGTAACTATTCTGTGACAACCACTAGTATTATATAAAGAAAAATCACAATAATTTTACAATTTTTAAGGCATTGTTACTGTAAAATTGTTTGGAATTTTTGTACAATTTCTTGACAATAATTTGGTTCAAGTTAATGTGGCTTGCATCCAGTGTTGCAAGTGTTACAAAATATACAAGACAGTTACTGATCTTCTACTTTAAGTTCTAACAAAACAAGTGTGGTAATTTGGTTTACCATACCAACCCAAACTCAAAGTACTGAGCATGTGCCAGTGGTGATAAGTGTTAGACTTTAGTGTGTATGTGTATGTTGTTTAGGTGTTCACACATCTACTTTCCACACTCCACGTGTCACAGTCTTCTCAGCATCAGAAAAAATGAGTATTTCAGACCAGTGGTGTCAATGACCCGGGTCATGACCGGTCAGGCCGGTGGTCAGCCAAAATGGCCATAAAGTGGTCAAAAATCGGCCTGACCGGTCCAAAAAGGGTCGTGAGAAACGGCAAAACACCTTCCGACAGCCGGTTCTACAGTCATGAACATCCCAGTTGCGATATCCCAGCATGCCCATATCCCATCGAGGATAGACGTGTGGATGTCCAAGGCCAGAGAGGGTGGGGAGTGACTGGAAGATGGGTGTTTTCTCTTGACAAATTTCAAAAAACATAAATTACAAGTGAGAAGTGTGAATTGATATTGCGATGGATCCAACTCGATATCCTCGTCTTTTTGCAATACCAATATAAGTTTTTACCCTAGAACGGCTGCCCACTCAAAAGGTACCTCATTGTCTCATTGAGTAATTAAGACAAAGAATAGAATATTCACAGAAAACATCCTTGCAATAATGCAGTTGTATTTGCTCCAGGTCTTCGCATTCTACACCAGATCTAGAGTAAGGTGATATATATATTATATAAGTAACTGTATGACTTCAAAAGGCACATACTTAGGGTGAATAATTCAAAAAGCTCAATGTAGCGGGGTGACGAGACCACTCATCCTGTTCTACGTGCTTACACATACATTTTGACGTACTTACATACGTTGATTTCTTAACCTTCGGGTCGCAAAGTCAAGTACGACTGGCACCTGTCAACTGTCTAAATGGTGTCGCGGGCAGACCTGATTTGGCATGCACGTGACGCTTGACCCCATTGACCACGGACATGACCGGTCAAATTGGCCTGACCCACATTTCGGCCTGACCTTTTTGGCCGAGGTCAAGACGGCCGTGACACCACTGTTTCAGACTACGAGAAAAAGACTTCAAAACCCGATGTGATGTGTGACATGAAGACCCAGTTGTAATCATGCAGTATAAGTAAAGCAAGTCAGAGAAAGTAGTGCATGGTACCAGTATGTTTAACCTCCAAATCCGAGGGGGACAGCCTGAATCTTTTTTTTTGTTTGAATCTTGAAGTGTGTATTGCCAACTTAACCTTGAGATCATGCACATATCATTGGTCAATAGACAACATATACCAAAAAAGCATTCAAGCCAAAAAAAACTGGGGTTGCATAAAAAACAAGTGTCAGTACTGTCATGTCATTGGGAGGGTATAAGTAAAGCAAGTCAAAGGTACGTAGCGTATCAGTCATTCCAGATCCATATTCATTAGTCTCTCCCCTTGCCGCCTTCCTTCCTTCCATCATCCCACCTTATGTTCGTCCATCATCCCACCTTATGTTCGTCCATCCATCCCGCTTCAAAAAAAAAGAAACCGTTCCAACAGGCCAACCCTACGTCCTCCCCCCCTTCTCCCCATCAAAAAACGCAACCAACTGTCCAATCGGAACCTTCCCCACCGGTTTCGGCATCGGCATCTTCACCTGTAGTCCCTCTTGACTTTGCTGGTGCCTCCTCAACAACAAAGGGTCCACGAACTTGGTCCCCCCTCCTCCAAGACCACCGCTTATCATTCCGTCTCCCGTCCCAATGGAGCTGGTACCAGAGGAAAGCCGCTCAGAAGAGCGGGACCTCAACTTCGGCTTTAACGGCGCAGTAGTCCCCATGGTAGGCGTTTGAGTCTGAGGAGGGAGGAGGCTGGCGTACCCATACGCGCTCTGCGCCCTGATCCGACGAGTGGACGGTGATGGTGAGGTCGTGGCTGTGGACTTGTAATCGCCACCTCCAGGTCCACCAGGAGATATCGAGTTTGACGCGGTGGAAGACAGACTCCCATTCGCAATCTTGAGCTTGATCCCAGAGGACTTGCCGATGGTTTCTTCACCTTCTCCGAACTCGCCTGCTCCTTCGTCTTCCTTCCTCTTGTCTTCATCATCGTCCCCTACGGGAGAAACGGAAAAAGACCCCCCAATCACACGGGAGTAGGATCGTGGTGTGCCTACCCTTTTCAATAAAAGAGCAGTAGCAGGTGAATCCGTATGGGTATTGATATTCGCATTCGCATTAGCATTAGCATTGGTATTGGCGGCGGTGGCAAAAAACAAAGAAGCAGCGTTCGAAGAAAACTCATCCTCATCAGGCGGCGCAGTTATCGGCCCTCCAAGCGCAACGGTGTACCGTTTCCTCGGCGTAGGGCTTACACTCGTTTGTCTTTTCCCAGCAGCCGATTTCGGGGGTGGCGGCAAACCTTGCTGTGCTCCTCGTCCTTTTGCAGGTGCGGGTGTTGGGCTGGCCGTTCGATTGGCAGGAGCAGAGGCAGGAGCGAACTTGGGTTGAGCAGGCGGGGACAACGGCCTACCCGTACCCGAAGCCAACGAGGAAAGAGAGGTGGTAGAATACGAAGCACCCGGTAGTGTACCCAGTCCTGAGGATGAATGGAGGGGTAACCCCGAAATGGCCGTAGACAACGGCCTCATAGCGGAACTAATCGACGAAGGGGGAGAATTACTGGGGGAGAACGTATCTGGCGGAGAAGAATAATCGCCCGCAGGGTACGGTAACCTCGTGCCCGACTCTCTCCTCTTCGAAGTCATCGGCGGACTCGTCGATTCTCTGGCAGTGGTACTCGATAACCTGGGGTGGTGGATGGGCGTGCTGGGTGCTGACGAAGACCCTGTGAAGTGTGTGGCAATGGAAGAAGCTGCTTGAGAGTGCGTGACGATGGAGGAAGTGGTTTGTGGTGCTACAGATACAGCGGCAGACTGCGTTCTAGGTCCCGCAGAAAGATTATTGGGGGCCGTCGCAATTTTCGCCATCTCCCGACCTAGTTCGCCCAATCGGCCTTGGAGCTCGACAACTTCGTCTCGAAGGTCATGGATTTCTTCCTTCACATTGTCTGTTGAACCCGCATGTCTTAGCGACTCGGAATCGGATTCCTTCTCCTTCTCCTTCTCTTTTTCCTTTTCCTTCTCCGCTTCCTTGTCGACTAACCACCTCTCAACATCGTTCATCCGATCTTCCAAAGCCCTAACGTGTCCGACGGTCCATTTCTCAAGCTTCTCGAAGCGTTTGGCTATCGTGAGGAGTGTGCCTGGTACGTCTAGCGTTCCTTGAGATGTGAACTGCGCGTACAAAGGTGGAGCCTCGCGAGAAGGGGAGGAAGACAACGTATCGGTTGTACGCATGGGAGAAGGTGTCAAATTAGGTGGCATATTCGAGAGACTCGGACGAGAAGGGGTAGGCGAAGACGGGGAGGAAGAAGGTACGGGGACGCGTCGAACGGGTGTTGTTGGAATGTTGAGGTTTACGAATGCTGGATCGTTGAATTTGCCTTCGGCGTTTGCAGGCCACTCTTTCTCCTTGCCTTTGGCGTTCTTCTTGTTATCCTTATCCCTCGCCTTTGCGTCCAATATAATTTGCTGAGCTGGCGTTGGAGGGTCTTTCGTAGGCGTAAGCCTATTCTTCGCAGCAGACCACCAACTACTACCCGACTCTTTCTGCGAATTAGACGGAGATGGCGGGTTAGGCATAGTCTGAGATCTGGAGGGCGGTGGAGGGAGCGACTTTGTGTTCTCCATCATGGACAGCACACGATCTTCAACGAGCCTCCTCTGCTGAGCCTCCCGTGTGAGTATAGCTTCTGCTTCTCTGCGACTACGGTCGCGTTCCCTCTCCGCTTCAGCTTCTAGCTCTGCGTCGCTTAGCATAGGTGATCGCGGTGCAATGCCCCCTACGAATGTGCCCATCCTTTGGACGAAGCTGGCTGCGAGATGGGAGACGGATGATGAGGGTGATGGTGAACGTTGCTGCCATATCCCTTGGTCGTCGTTGTCGTCTGAACCATCGTCGGATATGGAGTCTGGATCGACGCCTGTTGAACTGTCTGGAAAGAACGCGTTTCGGAGTGGCGAGGGTGGACGTGGTGATGGTGACCGTCCCCTCGGAGGCTAAAAGAAGGATGATGAATCAGTGGGACAGTCGCGATCTGATGTTCTCCAAGACTTACAATAGAAAGGGAATCAGCAGGCGAAGTCATCCTTCGTTGCTGTCGGCCATTCAAGCTCGACGACGGTGCTGGTGCTTGGAGGTTATTGGAGCTGATTGACTGAGTGGCACGATGAGCTGGCGAGCTGCTCATCGTCGCGTCGCTCGACTTGGGCGCTTGCAAGCCCGTTGGTCGTCGTTGGAAGTCAACAAAGATTCAACGTTCAAACTTCTCACGGGACGTCAACTTCAACCTCTTTACCTCACTATCACTTACATTACTTGGGAAACTACTCCGTTCTGCTGCTACGCTCAATGCTGAGCGCTGAGCACGTATAGGAAAAATGTTGCTCGATGCATTACACACCGCACCTCTGAGTCATCGCCCTGAAATGGCGGCCGAGACTTCTAAGCACGACCCTCGGACTTGTCTCCACCATCATGCTGCGAAATGGTTCCCTTCGTTTCAGGTATCCAGCACCACATGGAAATACCCTCGATCGTCATCTTCCTTGCTCCAACGATCTGACTTCGTTCCGTGTCTACTTCTCCTTGCGACCCAAATTTGACTGCGTAATTTCCTTACAACTTCAACTCAAGCTATCATCTTGCCACTTCGAGCTTGGAGATTAAGCCGACCGGCGTCAATACAAAGTAATCCCGTCGGCCATACCTGAGGCTGGGAGGTCCTGCCTGCCAGCCAGGACGCTGGTCCTTAGTTGCCAACCACGATTTGAAATTCATTCATCACCCCTCACATCAATCTATCTGGATTCTGATTCTAATGAGTAAGTATAACTGACGATCATCATCGCTCTAAATAGCGTGAGACCCGCAGCTCAGACTCCAGAGCAGCGGACCCGGCATCGCGGACTACGGCTCCGCCCCTCCAGCGCAAGATCGGACCCCAAGTTATACCCTCTTTCGTTCTATAACCTCCGCTGGCGAGCGAATTTGGGGGAATTTAGAGGCAACATCCTTGTCAGCTTTGTCCCTAGGATATCCTTCCAAGGACCGATGCGCTGTCAAAGCAACGATGACGCCTTCTCAAGCATTCAGGGTGTTTCTGAGTTTCAGCGACGTATAGCCGATGCATATCGCTACCCAAGCATTTCCAAGCATCTGTGTCACCTGCACCACCATACGCACGTCGTGATAGGATCATTCTTCTATACGTGCCGTAGCCGCGTATCCTGGTCAATAATGTGACCAAAATACTCACTGGCAACATAGCTTCCGAAGGCTTACGCACGTCGCTTGGATAATACACCCTCCAAAAAGCTATAAAAACCACTCGAATACGATGGACGTTCTTTAGCGCTGTGCACTCATCCACCCAACCACCTTACTCAGTGCAGGCCACTCGAGAGGTTCTTATCTTCTACTACACTACATTCACCTACGACCTACTCTATCTTCCACGACTTTCATCCACGAACGACCTCTATCCACACACCCTCATCATCTAAACACACAACATGGTCCAACTCACCACCACCACCGCCGCCGTCGCCGCCGCCGCCATCCTCGCCGTCCCAGCCATCGCTGGCCCAATCCAGTACGTCTTCCTTCCCCTTCCTCCTCTTTCTTCCCCTCTTTTCTAACCATAAATAAAAATAGCGGCTCATACCTTCAATCCCGCTCCACCGAAAGCAACGATGCACTGGAAGCACGAATGATCAAAGCTATGATCGACCTAGCCGCCCACGGCCCCGCTCGGAGCGTCATCACCAAGCCTATCAAAGACCAGGTGAAGGAGGCTGCCAAGGGAAACTCGGTACGACAACCCCACCAGCAGACGCTCTCCCAGAAGGTCTATGAGCAGACACACAATAAGGGCAGCAGCAGCGGCAGTAAGCAGGGCAAACGCGACCTCGAGCTGGAGTTGGAAGCACGCTACTTTGACGAGTAAGTTCCACCCTTACTACTTATTATCGAATCTCAGCTAACTTGATTCGCAGTGACGTCTTGGAATCGCGGATGTTCAAAGCTGTAGTCGATCTAGCCACCCACGGCCCCGCTCGGAGCATGATCACGAAGCCAGGCAAGGACCAATTGAAGGAGGCTGCTAAGGGTCACTCGGTACATCAACCTCACCAGCAGACACTCTCCCAGAAGGTCTATGAGCAGACGCACAACAAAGGCGGAAGCAGCAGCGGCAGCAGCAAGCAGGGCAAACGCGATTTGGAGGAGTGAGTTCTCAGTTCGTTTATTCGAGGCGACTTGCTAATGATAGGTTTGTAGACTCGAAGCGCGGATGTTCAAAGCCGCAATCGACGCTGTTACCCACGGCCCTGCTCGGAGCATGATCACGAAGCCAGGCAAGGACCAGTTAAAGGAGGCTGCTAAGGGCAACTCGGTGCAACAACCTCACCAGAAGACGCTCTCCCAGAAGGTTTACGAGCAGACGAACAAAGGCGGAAGCAGCAAGCAGGGCAAACGCGATTTGGAGGAGTGAGCTCTCGTTCCATTTATTCGACCACGGCTTTTGCTGATGATGGGGTTTGTAGACTGGAAGCGCGGATGTTCAAAGCCGCAATCGACGCTGTTACCCACGGCCCTGCTCGGAGCATGATCACGAAGCCAGGCAAGGACCAGTTAAAGGAGGCTGCTAAGGGCAACTCGGTACATCAACCTCACCAGCAGACGCTCTCCCAGAAGGTCTATGAGCAGACGCACAACAAAGGCGGAAGCAGCAGCAGCAGCAAGCAGGGCAAACGCGATTTGGAGGAGTGAGTTCTCAGTTCCATTTATTCGAGCACGGGCTTTTGCTGATGATGGGTTTGTAGACTGGAAGCGCGGATGTTCAAAGCCGCAATCGACGCTGTTACCCACGGCCCTGCTCGGAGCATGATCACGAAGCCAGGCAAGGACCAGTTAAAGGAGGCTGCTAAGGGCAACTCGGTGCAACAACCTCACCAGAAGACGCTCTCCCAGAAGGTCTACGAGCAGACGAAACAAAGGCGGAAGCAGCAAGCAGCAAGCAGGGCAAACGCGATTTGGAGGAGTGAGCTCTTAGTTCCATTTATTCGACCACGGCTTTTGCTGATGATGGGGTTTGTAGACTGGAAGCGCGGATGTTCAAAGCCGCAATCGACGCTGTTACCCACGGCCCTGCTCGGAGCATGATCACAAAGCCAGGCAAGGACCAGTTAAAGGAGGCTGCCAAGGGTAACTCGGTACATCAACCTCACCAGCAGACGCTCTCCCAGAAGGTCTATGAGCAGACGCACAACAAAGGCGGAAGCAGCAAGCAGGGCAAACGTGATTTGGATGAGTGAGTGTTCTTTCTTCTTGTTCTTTGAGTCGTGTGTTGATGACGATGAACAGACTTGAGGCACGATGGATCTATGAGGATTTGGATGAGCTTGACTGAGCGGGATTTATTCGTTATTATGATATGTACCTATATATTGTGTTTTGGAAGGGAGGATAATAAAGCAAGGCTTTCAATAATTGTCCGACCTTGAAGTGTTTTCTGGAGAGGATAATGATAAACTGGGTGATTCTGCTTTGCTTTTCCACGAGCACTAGCACATTGTTTGACCTGGACCTTGCATCTCCCCGCTTGCATCAGCAAAACCTGGGTGAGCTAGGCAGCACGTGGCAGGGCTGTGTAGTGCCATAGCGCCATAGAAAGGGGTAAGGTAGGGGACATCCATCTCTCTCCAACGTCACGTGCAAGGCGTGACATTTCTATTTTGAGCGGCAGTTATACAAAAATGCATCTAAAACATTCCTTCAACAATTAGATACAAATCGGAAACCAGGAGTTTGTGCCAAAATAGGTTGTGAACCGACGCAAAAAGAAAAAAATGTGTAAAAATGTGTTGCACCCAAATCGTATCAAAAATACATTTGGGCGTTTAGATTAGTGGCGCGTCGTGTCGAAATCAACAGAATTTCCCTGGACACACCGGAAATACAGCGAAACACAAAAGGCTCACCCAGAAAAGGTCAAAGAACCTTCAGAGAGGCTCTAAAAGGAATAGAGGACCTGAAAGATTGAAAAAGAGAAGAGAGTGGCACCTACTTTGTGCATATTTTTGTATTTTGCATACCATTCCATGAGATCAAAATCCTAGCTTCTATAACTTTGTATATAGCTTTCTAACAACAATTATAACAATCTCCTGGGAGCCAATTTTGAATTTCTACTCTGGAGTTGCATATCTTCCATCTTCCAGTCCCCGTGAATATAAAAGGAGCGTTATTGTAACAGCACGTGACGTTGGAGAGAGATGGATGTCCCCTACACCACCATTTGTTCAAAATGCTGATGGCATCTGGCATGAATCTCCGCTTGACAGATTACTGATGGAGGTCGCCCTGGCATGGAGGGCAGGTGTGTCGGAGCTTGGGGCGTAAATGTTTGAGCCAGCGGCTTGACACCTGACCCACAGGTTTTCAACTCTGCTCAGGAAGACCTGTACCGCCAATTTTCTTCGGGCGACGAAATGATGTACTTGAGATACAAATTATTTATAGTAAGATAATAAAATGATACATTGAGCACTTCCAAGTTCTTACAGGTAGAAAAGACACAGAATCCTGAGCTCAACATGAAAAGGCCCGTGCGAGAAACTCTCCAAAATTTCCCCAAGTCGTTTAAACTCCGCCCTATGTTTGGTTATTTCCAAACTTCAACCAGAACCAAACTCACCTTCCTCTCCACCACAACCGTCTCTCGCCCAGTTGCTTGCTTGCTCCCCTCATTATTTCTTGTTTTCATCTGTGTTCCACTACCAAGTGGTCTGCACCCCATGTAATCCTCCTCATGTTGTTCCGTTGGTTGTCCTTGTTACCCACCCGTGCGTCTGTGCGCGGTCGCCACCTGTCACTGTTCTGGGCTTTTGTTCCTGCCCATTGCCCCTTTGTAGTTCCTCCCCGACAAGTGGCCACTTGCTAATACTGACTCTCCTGGACAGGTTCACTTTCGCATTGCGCCACGTAGCGGCAGCCGCAGTAGACGCACACCTATCACCATCATCAAACCCAAGCTTGGCTCTCCAGACAACGTCTCAACGTGGTATCCGCCCTCCGCTACCCTCCTCTCATTCAACGAGCCAGAGGCTCCGCTTTGACGCGCCTTGTTTGTGGTTGCGCATTCGGCGGACAGCGCAAAGGGTGGTCAGGTGGGGGAATGTTTTTTGAACGGAAGAGCAGACACAGGTAGTAATTGGAGCTGCCTCATTTCTCACATCCTTCCATACACCCTATACCTTTGTACTATGCAGCCTGTTTATAATCCTTGCTTATGAAAATGTGGCCAACGTCATCCTCCTCCTTGCCCCTTGTATTTTATGGACTAAATAAGAACATGAACACCTAGTACAAATATGGCCAGGGAGAAATATTGAAAATATAGTGAATTTACGTAGGCTGGGCTGCCAGCTGGTCCCCAGCTGCCCCAGACAGGTAGTGCCAAGATCGACCTGGGCACACCCTGCTATTAGTCGGATTTCGATCATGGTGTGGACTCGGATCATTATTGCCTGACAGGTGGGAAAACATGCCACACAGGGTTTGACTCTCAGGTTTTTCTCACATGCCTGTCATTTGGCGGTGTACCTTATCACCTTTGGCTCATGTGCGGTGTCTGGAGGTGGCTTATGTACATATATAGGACATAATTATGTACAAATGCGGATGTACCCTATAAGGTATCCGTCACATGTAACGTCACACATAATCGACGTTGAGAGCATTGGAGAGCAACGTTTGCTCTCCAACGCTCTCTCAAAACACGGGCGGTATCTGGATATCGCCCGTGTTTTGCTTGCTTTTCATGTTCCCTACACATACCCATCTCACAAGCTCGACTTCCGACCTCGCCAGGCGCGAGACGACCGCCGCCAAGATTTCGTCGCATCAACACGATCCGTCAACATCTCAACATGTTGAGACATGAAGAAGAGGTTCAACATTGGTTGGGCGGGCATGCGAGCACAAGCGGAGCGATAATAAGGCTCTGCGGGGTCATTTCAGGTGCGTAGCCTACGCGAGGAAAGCAAATCTGCTTTCCTCACATCCATCTCTTCTAACATCTGTTTTTATTTCTACAGGCTTTGTAACGGCACCCACTCTGGTCCGTTTGATGCACCAACCACGCCACCCTTACCTGTTTGCCACCGCCTAACACGCCGGTCGACGTGCGCCCGTCGCTTGGCATGTGTGCCTCGCATCCGATGCACACATGCCCACCACCAAAACCATTCGACTCCATCCCCATCGCAAACGCTGCAGATACTACCGTCATCCTCGCCATTCAATCACATTACCATCGCCAACTACATTGCCGCCATCAAACTGTGTGTACACCCATGCATCCCCGTCAACTTTGTTCACCCCCCTATGATCACACTCCCATCACCGACAATGTAGCCGCCTGCATGCACACGCACAATCATTGGTCAACGGGGATGCACAATCCTCGCCCCTCGATCACATTCCCATCGCCAAGTACGTTTCCACCCATCAAACCGTGTGCGCATGCATGATCGACGCACAGGTGCATCCCCGGCAACTTCGTTCACCCTTCGATCACACTCCCATCGCCGACAATGTAGCTGCCTGCATGTACATGCATAATCGATGGTCGACGGGGATGCACAAGTGCATCCCCGTCGACTTCGTTGTCTACCATCGCCATCACAAACAATTTAGCTAGTTGTATGCCTATTTCAACGAGCCATTTACCTACCCTTTTACCAGTTGTACGCGAATCCGATCGTCTGTCTACTTTTACGTTCGATTCCTGTACTGTATGTATTCAACAAATAATAATTCTCCACTTTTGAGTATACAGAATGGCCTTGTGTTTATTGTGTGGTGTTTATGCAAGTACTCTTTGTCTTGAACCACGATCTCATTCCCATCTACAGACCATCTACAACCCAAAACTTGCCTCAAAACACAAATACTTCAATGTCAAGTAGCCATGGTGGATTCCGAGTAGGTTCAGGGCGGAAGCGGAAAATACCAGACGAATCTGCAGAGACTGAGGATGGAGCACAACAACGTCGTCGTCTTGGTGCACCCACTAACTTCTCAAGTGAAGAAATTTGAGATCAACCCCTTCCTCTCTCTACCCAGAATCTCTATCTGCAGTTACAACATTATCAGGCCCAATCATGGTCAACCAACCCAAGACGAATTCACAACCACGCCAAATTCACCCTTTCTTTTCTAAGGTGGCTAGTTCTGGTTCTTCATCAGCTGCTACATCTGGGTTACCTTCTGGCACCTCTCAAATATCTCCAGTTAGCATAGATCTTATGGCCACTGCATCTCCAGCAGCTCCTTTGAACAGCTTCATATCTGCTGAGAGTCTCTCCACCCTTCATGCAGAGTTTGCATCTATTCCTGATCTTGTGACTGGTACTACTCCTATTGTGGAGAGCATACTTGATCTAGAAAATGAGAATGACATTGAGGATGATGATTCTGATGATTCCTCTTCTGGGGATAACATATCTGGGAATACTACGTCTAAAGAAAATGCTTCTGATTCATCTCTTTCAGGAGATTCTGGAAATATATCAATTCAGTTCTTGAAGACAGTACTTGCAAACTTGAAAGCTGAGATTGAGACAATTAATAAGCCTAAAATATATTCTGATGGGACTTTCTGGCACCGTCCTCGAGATCCAGTCTTTGCTTTGGCCATGTCTAATCAGGAAGGAAATTTGAATCCTAGAGAATTATATCACCTGGATGTCTTTGTTTGGATTCTAGGTCTTAAAAATAGACTTCCAGGAGAGCCTACTCAAATTTTGTGTCCAACTGCTCTTTGTTCAGGCAAACTTGTTCGGCATGGCTACAATACTAAGCCAATTGCTCGCCGAGTTCGGGGTCTTCACAGAGATTATTTCCTATTAACAAATCGGCTTCGCTGTGAAGACTGCAAGAAGTCATTCCAAGCAACTGATCCCAAAATCTTAGAACAGCTGTCTCGTGGCTTAAAGGAATCCTTTCCAGCCTTTTTGACAAGCAGAGCTGCAATTGACAAATCCTTAATGTCTGTAATGCGGGCATGCTTTGCAACACGTTTTGGGCCAGAGCCATTCTCTGCAATGCTCTCAGAAATGCGTCATATTGATCATTCACAACGTGAATTGATGTATCTGTCAGCTGTAAAATCAATGGAGATGCCAATTCAAGAGGGATTTTCTAAGTTTGATGATAAGCTGCGATATGCTGGTTCATGTCCATCAACTGGCTACTGCAAAGGGGTCTTTGTTGACTGGATGCGAGCACATTGTCCATATTTTGACAGAAAAATTGCTGCTCTTCCTGCATCTGTTTTGAAGGGGGATCACACTTTCAAGGTGAGCTTCTGTTGTTCAATAAATATATTTTGCATTGGGGGATAACATAATGAATTTAGGTCATCAAACTCTTA